GCACAACGTTAGCGCTTGAAGTTGCTGTGGTGTTCTCCAGGTTTGTTGGTCTGGTGATGTTGTCTTTGTTGGCTTGTTGTCTGTCATTTCCCTCCATTTTTATGTTTGGCGGCGCGTCTTCGATGGGTTGGGTTTGGTTCATAAATCTCGGCTTCGCTAAGATCCGTTCCTTCCCGTACATAGTGGTCGCTCCATTAGCGCTAGTGCAGCCACATTTGAATGTGTAAAACTTAATGTCTACAGTCCCGTTTTGATTCGTTCATCAAAGTAGATTTTACTAAGGTATGACTTAACTAACTGATTGTGGAAGTACTACTTAGTACTGATGTAAACAAGAAACAATATACGCGCTCTGGTTGAGTTCATGGCATTTACATGAAACAAGGTGCTAATAGCCGCTAGTCGGTGACGCGTCAGCAGCCCTATGATTGGTCCCCGCTAGAAATCTACTGGATGTCATATAGTGTACACGATGGGGGGACCGGAGGGCCGGCGGGCTGGGCTCGAGGTTGGAGAGGTCTGATTCCGCGTGGGCTGATGGCGAGTGGGTGGGCGCGAAGGTGACTGGCGCTGCTTGCTTGTGGGAGCACCAATTACTACATCTCTGTATGAGCGGATCGGTGAGGGTTGATTACTAGCAAGCTGGCTCCTTCTGCCTTTGTATTCGCCCAGACCTATGAGGGGGTTCAGTGCTCTCTTAAAGTTAGCAGCCAGCACTCGAGTCCCATACCTGTTCAGATGGTAGCCATCTGAGGTGAACAGGGATTTCTTGATTGTCCATGAGCTGGAGAGGTTGGAGTTGTCTGTGATATGTACATAGCTTGTCTCATCCGCAACTACTTTTAAGAATGAGTTGATATCATCACCTATATCCACGAGGTGTGGGTCATCCCTTGGGAGAATGGGTGAGAAGACAAGATTGGTGCTGGGGTACTTGTCGTGGGCGACGTGGACGAGCCTCCGAAATCCCTCGGTTACTGTAGCAGCGTCGCGCGCGTCCCGGACATCATTTGTGCCGATATGAAACAGAATCACCTTAGGGGCAGGAAGGGCAGAGTTCTGAATGTAGCCCTCGGCTTCTGTTAGATTGAAAGTTACATCACTTTTGGCACTTCTGTCAGGGTATAGGATTTCAGGTTTGATTGCTTTTGTGTTGCTGTCGCCCAGGATTAACACGTCTAGCGGCTGCTCTTTGTTGTGATGATTCTGTGCCGCTGTCTCCAGACGTGATGTGTTCTCCATATTGTTCACACCCGGTTGTTTTGTACTTCTTCCATTGTTGCCTTGTTTGCGGCGTTTTGCACTTGTACTTGAAGTGTCAGCTTGTTTGTCGTCGTCATTGTCCAACACCTGGAAGCGGTTTTGCACATCAATAGTTGCGAATTCTTGTAGCAACTTTTCTGCGCGTTCTGCTGGTGAGGTATAGGTCTGGGTTTCCACAGACTGCGAAGGATTGGACGATTTTCGAACATTGATTGTTAGTTCCTCACATTTTTGCTGGAGCGATTCGACCTGTTTCTGGAGTTCAGACTTCACTTGCTTCAGATGGGCGACGTCTTCCATGAGTTGCTTCTTTTCTTGAGAAGACAACCCACCACACACATGATTGGCCTGAGATTTCATGTTAGTTTCCAACATAGAAATTCTTTGACATACAGAGTTTTCAAACTCAGCTCTGTCCGAGATGGAGCTGGCTAGGCAAGCCTCTAGCTTGGTTACGTTTTCCTGTATAACGGACACGTCAACTGGGGAGACTTGAATTGAAGTTGAAGTATTCAGTACATCTTGATCTCGCGTTACATTACAGTTCTCATCATATACGCTCTTCGGGGTTGTGGTACAAGTCAGGCAGTTTTCATCCGTCAGAGGCTGGTCGCAAGTTTGACACAGCGAGCGGCTATCAGACACGTCAGTTGGGACGGTCAAAACATCCGTAGATCTTGCCGACTCGGGTACGGGTGGGGGGCTAGCTTTACTTCCACTGATTTTCGTTCTGAGTTCATAGAAGACGTTGGAAAACCAAAGCAGGTAGGGAGAGCCTTGGATCAGGAGCTTTTGCGTCGTCTCATAAACTTTGATACTTACTGAACCGTGTTCTTCTTTGGTCTTGGCGTCAACAAACGGGAACTTGATGTGGTGACCATTCTTCCCCCCATTGATTGCTTTAGTGCCGTGATAATCTTCGCACGATTTAAGCCAAATCTTAGCCAGGTTTTGAGGTAGGAATATGGTGATACTCTGCTCGTTGTGTTTGACGAGATAGTCTTTGGGGTTTTTGAGCATTTTCCTGGTGACTTTTGGGTGATCCGGAACAATTTGACTGTTATCGTAGCGTTGTCTGGACGACGCATCAGATAGAATGGCAAAAGCTTTGCTCACCTCGCGGTATCTACAATCCGCTTCCTTGAATCTGAAGTCCTTGCGATTGAGCTGAGTGGCTTCTTCGTACAAAGTAACCTCTTTCTTGTAAGAGTCCACTATCTCTTCCAAAGTCGCTGTTGGGAGCACGCCGAGTTTGGAGTAGAGTCCTTTTTGGTCCGACGCGATTTCCGACGCCATGGCCGACAACTCGAAGCTGGCTTGGGTTTTAGAATGATCCACAAAATTCGACGATAAATCCTGATCAGGCGGACCAAATAGTTTTCAGTTGAAACAAAGTTGACTAAAAAATGTTTACAAAGTCGTAGGAGGTACAATAGTACATGAATTACAAGGCAGAGACACAATTATTCTTGCACTAGCGGGAGCGTGTGACAGGGACGTCCGTCACCGCCGCCATCTTTAATAATGTGTCCGTTCTAGGGCGAGCTTCACCGCCTCTGGCGGGACCACGTCGGCATTCGGCCGAGATATGCTGGGAGGGGGGCATCAGCAAGCAGGTCGTTGACCTCTTACATTAATAACACGCCGCCTTGCGTGTTATCATCAAACAGAAATAAATGTACCTCAAGCGCATTATGTTCGGACACGGTTTCACAGGTGTGTGTGGCACGTGGACCAGATGTGAAGAATGTGAGTTACCCGAATCGCGGTTTGGGTGATTCCGTATAGACACGGCCTAAATGACTGGTGCAACAGCTCAATAACCGGGAGATTTGTAACCGGGAGGTTGTGAGAATTGAATGGGAATGTATATTGTAGTCTAGTTTAGTGTAATTAGCAGGTACATGTAGCCCATACAACAGTAAATCCATAATTGCCTCCCATTGTATCTGTTGGAATTCTTGTGTGATAGATTTTGACTTCCAGTTGGTATGTATATAATCATAAAAAACACCCATGGCACACAGGCAAGCATACACTCAGGTGTCTTGGTCACATGAACCTCAAACTAAGGTACAACACAACTGCAAACTTTAAAGATATTTCAGGTAAAAAGTTCAGCATGGTTAGATGGTCTATCTCTAAAGTAACCAACAGATGTTCATGTCACATGAACTTTAAACAAGGCATCTATTTTGCCTTTGAAGAGTATTGACAACTCAAAAATGCAAAGGAAGAACAGCCCTTTGAGTCCACAGGAATTATAATTATAGCTCCTATCCTGTAAGCATCATCAGATCTGACTACCTGGAAGTGTCGGCAGCAACATCACAACCCTTTCAAGATCAGTAAATTTAACCCTACCTAGACCGGGGGGGGGGCTAAAAGTGCCCGCGGCAACTTTGATGTCACCTAGCGTCTGAACGGCTAGCCGTAAAACGACCAAACTTGGTGACTTTTCCTAAAATATTGTTGGCAACAATTCTCTATCATTGGAATAAGATAATAATTTTTTGTGTTGCCATGGCAACGGGTTTCTGACAGGCATTTTTTGCTAAATTTAGTACTTTTTGTTTCAACAATAGAATTTTATGGGTTTTATGTCAAGTTACTCATGGTTTCTAATATTAATAACATCCCATATAATTTCATGTAAATTTTATCATTAAATATGCATAATTTATGCTAATTTGATGACGTCATTGGCCAAAATCCAAGATGGCGGACCATATCATTAGAACAGGTATATACG